CCGAACCCAAACCTAAACCCAAATCCAAACCCAAACCAAACCCAAACCAAACCCACACCCGAACCTAAACCCGAACCCAAACTATTCAAAACCTTTATTTTTTCCTACAGTTTCATGGATAGTTTGTCGTACCAGCTGAATTACTCATGTATTTCTCATTCCTTTTTTTCATTTTTCATTTTTATTTTAATATTCGAATTAATTTATTATTTATTTGTTTTGTAGGTCTAAACCCAACAGATCAGAATGACAATCATTCTAAAAGAGATAAAATGCTCATTCCTTTCTTTGTACATGCTTGATATATATATACTGGTTTATTGTTGTTGATGTAAATAATATACTGGTTTATTGTTGTTGATGTAAATGATATACTGGTTTATTGTTGTTGATGTAAATGATGTACTGGTTTATTGATGTTGATGTAAATGATGTATTGGTTTATTGCTGTTGATGTAAATGATGTAGTGGTTTATTGTTGTTGATGTAAATAATGTACTGGTTTATTGTTGTTGATGTAAATGATGTATTGGTTTATTGTTGTTGATGTAAATGATATATTGGTTTATTGATGTTGATGTAAATGATGTACTGGTTTATTGCTGTTGATGTAAATGATGTACTGGTTTATTGCTTTTGATGTAAATGATATACTGGTTTATTGCTGTTGATGTAAATGATATATTGGTTTATTGTTGTTAATGTAAACTAATCAAGGTTTTTTTTGCAAGGGGATGTAAATGATATATTGTCCGAAGAAAATGATTTAAATAAATCCTCTAAGAGGAAGTCCACTGGTTCATCCGATTTTGGGAGAAGAACCTCTCCTGTTTGGGACCCCTACACATTCACCAAATCTGATGATGGTTCTGTTTATGCCGAGTGTAAGTATTGCAAAGTGAAAAGGTATAAAGTTGATTCTTATATTGGTACATCTAACCCTAAAAGGCATACTAAGAAATGCCAAGCATATAAAGATTTTCTTGTTGAAAATCCTTGTAGTATAGCTTCTTTTGATCAAAACAAATATTGTGAATTGTTTGTTGTGGCTATTCTGTGTCATGGTTATGAATATAGTATTGTTGAGCATGAAAAACTTAGGGATTTACATCATTACCTTAATTCTTCTATTAAGGATATATCTAGGTATACTATTACTAAGTATTGCATGTTGGAGCATGAAAAGCATAAGAAATTGCTATTTGATTCAATGCATACTGTTTTAAGTCGTGTTTGTTTTATATGTGATGGTTGGTCTGCCTGCACTTCACGTTCTTATTTTGCTCTTACTGCTCATTATGTTGATAATAACTGGAAACTTCAGTCTAAAATTCTTATTTTTGTCGTTTTCCTCCTCCTCGTGATGGGGAGTCAATATTTAAGTTTGTTAAAAAGATGATATGTGAGCGGGGTCTTGAAAAAAAGCATTTACCATTACACTTGATAATGCTTCTGCAAATGATAAAATGGTCAGAAGACTGAAAGATGATTTGAATGTCATTTGTCCTCTTCCATGCAATGGTAAGTACTTGCATATAAGATGTGTTGCCCACATTTTGAACTTGATAATTCAAAAATGTTTGAAGGTAATTGATTATTATGTTAATAAATTGCGTGAGATTGTTAAGTTTTTTGATTCTTCCGATTCTCAACTTTGTGCATTTGAATTAGCTATTAAAGACTGTGATACTTCTTTATCTGGTAAGTTAGTATTGGATGTTCCTACTCGATGGAATTCTACTTACTTGACGGTTCATAGGGCACTTGAGGCTAGATTAGTAATTAATTTGTTTGTTAATAGGGAAAATGAGTTAGATTTCATTACTAATCATGAGTGGGAAATTGTTCAAACAATCTGTGATTTTCTTGAGCCTTTTTTATGAAATTACTACTCTGTTCTCTGGTTCTAAGTATCCCACTTCTAACTTGTATTTGATTAATGTTGTTTCAATTGAAAAATTATTGTGTGATGCTCATAATGATCCCTGTGAAGGTATTTCTGCAATGGCTAAACACATGCTTGAACTATTTGAGAAATATTGGTCTGATAACTCAATGATTCTATCTTTTGCTGTTTTACTTGATCTTCGAAATAAATTACAACTTCTGAAAGAGTTGTACAATGTTCTTTATGTTGAGGATGAGGTTCAAAGGAGGGTAAGTCTAATTTATAATGAGTTTATTGAGTTATATGTATTTTATTCAAAAAATGCACCTTGTGGTTCTTTTCTTCTTCTGCCCAAAGTAACAAATCCTTAGGCAGAAATGAGTCAAGTTCCAATCGGCCTTGAGCTTTTAGAAAATTAGATCTATTTCAGGTTAGTAATTACAATTTTAAGTTGAATTTATATTATCTATTTCTTGTTTTCATTTACTAATCTTTGTCTTTTTTTAGACTTTGCCAATTTAACTGCTTCAAGGAGTGGACGATCTGATGTTGATTCTTACATCAATTTGCCTCTTGTCCCTCATACTGGAGAAACTGAATTTGATATTTTGGATTATTGAAAAATCAAAGTATTTCATATCCGGTAATTTCTCGCATGGCGAGAGATATATTGGCTATTCCAATTACTTCGGTTGCATCTGAATCCTCCTTTAGTATGGGAGGTCGAATTTTGAACAAGTTAAGAGCTAAACTCTTACCTAAAAATGTTTAGATTTTTGTAACAACCTGTAATTAGTTGTATGGTTTTGAGTCGGAGGATAAGGACGAAGAATATCTTTCTGTGGTTAACGAGTCTTCTTTGTAAAGGTAATCCATATTGCTTTTTTATGTTAATGTCATTAATATTTCAAATTGTTTATTAATTATTTTAATTTTTCTTTGTAATTTTAGGGTGTTTAAAGGTCCCTGAAATCATTCGAATTAGAGATTTTGTCTTCTTTATTCCATTCAAAGGTAATTTAATATTTATTATGTTTATTTAATAAAAGTTTTAAATAGTTCATTAATAATTCTTTTCTTTTGTAGGGTGTCTTACTGCCTTACAATATTTCATACTTGGTGATTGATTCTGCTTTATTCTGTTTTATATTATTTGCTTCTGTTTGATATTGCTTTCTTCTACTTGATATTTGTAAGGGTTTGGTAAAGTCAGAAATGTTTGACACTATTGGCCATTGAATTCCCTTTGGCTTTACCACTGATTGTATGCTTTCTTAATACAGGATACCTGCTGAATCGATGAAATGATGCTTGCTGAATTGGTACATTGATACTTGTCGGTTGCTGCTGTCTATTACTCACTGATGCCTTGTAAATTATTGTTGTTGGTCTGACTTAAATCAATTTTAGAACCTTATAAAATTCTTATCTAAATAGTTACCCATGTTGCATTATGTTGGTGACATTTTGACTTTTAAAGCTAGAAAGTTGCCCATAATTAAACATGTTGACAGCATTTAGGTATAAATGCTCGATGATGATATTTCTGGTAGTATAGTTAGGATTTTTAGGCTTGTAAACATTAGCTATAGGATCTGAGAGCATTTATATCAACATAAATTTATTTTGTTTAGTTGATTTTATTCGCAATTTTAGTGTTTTCAAGTGTATAAAAATTACTTTCATTTATAAATATTTTTTTAGTATTTGTAATGTTATTCAAGTTTTAAATCTTTAATAAGTCCATCATTTCAACTAATATATTTTGATTTTAAAATTTCAAGTTAAGTTTACTTAAATTATTAATCAATTTTCATATTAAAAGTAAATTAGATTTATGAATATTTTAACTCAATTAATATAACTTAATAAAATCAAGTTCAATAAGAAAATATTTAAATTTAATATAGTGATTATAAATAAAATTTATAATATAAGAAATATAAAGAAAATTATGAATTGGAGTTAACATAAAAATCAAATTTATAATATACAAATTATAATTAATATAAAACTAAATTTCAAAAAAGTAATCATATTAATTTAATTATCATAATAATTTATGATAAAATTTCAAAAATAATCATATTAATTTAATTATCATAATAATTTAATTATCATAAATTTATTATAAATTTAAATAACATAATTATATTAATTGTAATTTCATATAAGTCAGGATAATATCATATCACTTTAGCAACATATCAGATCATTTACAGGTTGAGTCAATTACAGATCAAGTTCATAATAGGTCAGGTTGAAAACAGGTCGGGTAATACCAGTTATTTACCAGGTCAATCTCGGGTTCGAGTTCATATCAGTCGGGTGCAGTTTGGGTCCCGGTATCATATTTTCGGTTCAATTCAGATTCAGGTCATTCTCATGTCGGGTTCAGATCCACAATTTCCAGGTCCAACTCGGGTTCAGTCAACACCAGTTCCGAATCGAGTCGGTTCCGGATCGTCACAGCGCAGGTCAAAAACAATTTTAACTCGAGTCATTTCAGTCAGTTTTACAGGTCGGGTAAGCTTTTTACACCCCTAATTCGAACCCTCATAGCAGTAGTTTAGGTTGCGTCGCTTTGCTTAACAAATAAGGCGGTGACATGTCATCATCTTATTAGATACAGAATAAATTAAATTAAATAATTAAAACTAATAAAATACCCTCTAATATAATAGTAATACGTGTCACCACCTATTTGGATATTAAATTTTTTAAATTAAAATTATGACCAATTGATAAAATGTATAAATATCGAGGATCAAATGTGTAATTATACTAATTTTTTTCACTGTCACATCAACACTTCCGTTAAATATTAACGAAAAATGACTTGATTGAATGCATTTTAATAATTGACTGACCTGATTGACAAAAATTCACCTTTTTTTTTAATGTGTCAGATGGGGCACCTCCTAAATCGGGGTAGAGTCGCATGCAAATGATGGGCTTCAATTATCATGTCGGGGTTCAGGTGAGCTAAAACTCCAACTCGACTATCCCTATAAATTATACATATTTTATTGATTTTGAACCAAAACTCATTTGGTTCACAAACTACAGTCGTTTTTCAAAGATGTATTCAACAACTTTAAAGTCATGCCAAACAAAATAAAAAGCTAAAATTCATCTACAGTGGATAAAATTGAATTTCACACTGACCCGAAGAAGCCCTTTGTTGATCCACAATCCTTGCCTTTATTTCTTCACTTATTCTTTCATAGCATAGAATCAACTTCTTCAACACCGATGCATTCTTCAAAAAGTATTCGACGAGTTCAATCTCTTCGAATCCGTCGAATACGACAATTTTGACCGTCTCGAGATTGGAGTATGAAACACTTGGTAATGCAACCCTCATGTGATCCCACCTAAATCCCTACAATAAGCAATAATAGTGAGATTAATGCAATGCTTGTCCAATGGCCGTAGGTTCGAGTGAGGTCTACCTAAGTTCAGCCAAAAATGTGATTCAAATTTTGTTCAAATTCGCTCGTATTTATAAATGATCTTATCCAATATATAAAATAAAATAAAATCAAATATATTCGTATTTAACGTACCTTCTCTATAACTAGAGAAATCAAATTAGGTGAACGTTCCACCAAGAAATACAAAGCATGAGACGGGGACTCATTAAGCTTAACCACAAGATGTGTCAAATTTGGCCAAACAATTGCTCCATTGTAATCGATGTCTTCGAACAAAACATTCTGCAGCATCATACATAAAAGAATAATTGTAGCGCCGACATGAGACGGGAATGAAATTATAAAACTTTCATCTTTGAAGGAAGAAAATAAAAGAAAATAAAAAAAAGTAAAATGATGTGAATGCCATGTCAACAGAAATCATTCCATATCAGCACACATGGATGCCATGTCAACAAAAATCGATTCACATCAACACATATGACTGCCATGTTATCCTTCTATTTCGGATTTAACATTAGAATAACCAAAATAGGAACAAATCCAAAATTCAAGTGCAAGTAACTTTCATGCACACACATAAAATAAAACTGAAGTTAAATGCAAAGGAAACTTACATCGGTTTTATAGATCGCCAAGTGCTTTACCATATTAGAGAACGACTTCAAAAAGATCAAGGGCAAGTTTGGACCGGCTAGTAACTTCAATGCTAGCTGAACCCAGGGATAATACACGATTTGAGTCTTCATCTTCATCACGTATCCCACTAGGTTTAACAAGGTATTCCAAGTATAGTGCCTTGATAGCAACCTCCGGATTGATGAACTTTGGGAATTTGTCCCTGTCCGAGTCAAGAAAGCAATCTTTGATTTCAAAAATTTCGAGCTGAGGGCACCCGGAGAGAAGCTTGTTCAGTGTGTTACCACCCAGGATCGAAACACCTTTGAGTCGGAAGGCCTTAAGACACGGAAAGAAAACATGAACGTCGATGGGGATTTCTTCGATTACGATCTCACCAGACAACCATATGATTTCGAGTTTTTTACATGGAGCGATCGTACGAGACAAATCGAGATGATAGTAAAGAGTCTGGGGTAAACCGCGAACAAACTGACGACACATATGAATACGAAACACTTCAAGATTAGATCGATTGGGAGTCGTCAAGAGATCAATCCACTTACAAATCACAGGTTCCCCATACTCACAGTCAAAACATAACAAACGAAATCTCTTGACCATTGCCAAGTTTTCATGGTTCCTTAAGACATGATCAATGATTCTTTTAAAGGTATGTGGTCGGTACTCGTTGTCCCTAAGATCAAGTGAGGGGACGGACCTCCATAAGTATCGGAATCTTGTGGACAAAGATCTCATTCTTAATAAAGAATGAAACGGAAGGAAAGAAAGAATGTGGCAGAGAAGCTTATCTGGTAAATCACTCAACCTATCGACCACGATTTCCTTTTCGGCTGCCATTGTTGATGATGTTAACTAAACCAAGATGCAAAAGACCGATCACTTGGTACGATTCAAATACCTATCCGCACTGTTACACCATCAAACCAAGTGTAGAGCTCACTAAACAGGGTGAATTTGACCAGCAACTAGAAGATAAAGATTGGCCAACTACCATGATAAATGAAGAAATATCATCTATGACTAAGAAAGTTAATAAAATAAAAGCATAAATCTATAACGGAAATCACAATTCCAGATAAAAGAGATTACTGAAGAGACATTCAAACCAGAACCATATTTGTCAGTGAATCGTGAACAAAGTTGCAAAAACCTTGCAATTTGAAAGTTTCCAGCAAAGTTTGAAAAAAAACCCATAACAGAAATTCAAATTATACACCATTGGCATCTTGAACAAAAACTTAATTATCAAATTAAACAACACTGGCAAATCCCTAAATCAATCAGGAAATAAAAAAAATGAAATTCAGGGATGAGAAATCATACAAGCGACATACGGGGAAGCTCTCTATGTTAATCTTCTTCGGCGTTAGCGTTAATACTCCCTAATTCCGTATCCTTTTGTAGATGATCACTGTGATTCGATCATTTTAAGCTTTCTAGATAATAAGCTTGGATGAGATGATAATCAGGCGACCTTTCCTTCACGGGATTTAGAATCCTATATATAAGAATAAGGTGACGTTTCGTTCGCTGGGATCGCTTGAAATCGGTGGAAATTAGAATCTAATTTCACCATTTTCTCATGTTAGATTCAAGTTTTTCAAACGAATTAGAATCTCTCACGGCTTCACTTTCATTAAATGAGGAAAGTGAATTCTATCTAAGAATAGATGAAATTCAATTCCTTTGTCGGAGGGAATTGAAATTTGACCATACTATCAATCTTTTAGTAACTTATTCATATATTAAATAAAAATATTTTTTTATTATTTCGAATAGAGTTTCTAATTCATATATTCAGGTCGAGTCGGGTCGGGTCGGTTTTTTTAAGTGTGATATTCGGGTCGGGTCGAGTTCGAGTTTAGGGTGAAAAATACCCGACCCGAAAATATATATAATTTTTACCTTATATATTTAGGAATAATTACAATAATACCCCTTTATATATATATTTTTTCAATTAAGTCATTGTTTTTATTGAATAAAAATATTTTTTTTATTTCGGGTCGGGTCGGGTCGGGTGAAATTTTATTTTGTTCGGGTCGGGTCGGATTTTTTAAGTGTGATATTCAGGTCAAGTCCGTCGGATTTTTTTAAGTGTGATATTCGGGTCGGGTTCGGGTTTAGGGTGAAAAAAATATATAATTTTACCTTATATATTTAGGAATAATTACAATAATACCCCTCTATATATAATTTTTTTCAATTAAGTCAATATTTTTATTGAATAAAAATAATTTTTTTGTTATTTCGTGACATGTCGGGTCGGGTTTCTAATTCATATATTGAATAAAAATAGTTTTTGGTATATTTTTTTGTAAATAATTAACATACTCCGATTGGAATGTATCGAAGTATTGTTCTATCTTTTGATAACTTATTAACATATTTTGATTGCGATAATTTTAACTTACGATGTTTATTAACATGATTTTTATAATTTATTGAAATGAATAATCAATCAATAAAATAAAAATTTAATATTTTTTAATTTTTTATAATATATTACTACATGTAAGTTGTAAAACAAACTAAAATAAAGCAAAAAAATAAGAAGGGTAATACTGTCATTTTATATTATTGAAATCAAATTTATCTGACATGTCTGCGGACCAAACATAATATGAAATTGGATTCCAATTCCATTTCCTGCCAACCAAACAGAATATAGAATTGGATTCCAATTCCTGACGGATTCCAATTCATTCACAGATTTCAATTCCTTCATAAACATTCAAACGAACCAAACGACACCTAAGTGTGTTAGAATGTAATATTATTTTGAGAACATTGTATTACTTTATTAGCTTAATTATAAAATAAGTGTACAAATTATAGAGTTTATCACAAATAAATATTTAATTTTATTTAATGATTGAGGATTAAACGTTATAAACGTTATCATTTTAGGTTTTTCGGTCTGGTGTTAATTTTTTCCGTTAAGTGACATGTGTCACATTCTGATAATTTTAAAAAAGTTATTTAAAATTAAAAAATTAAAATTATATTTAAAAAAAATGAAATAGCCCCAAAACATTGAAAACCTTCATTTGAACCCCTAAACTCACCTCCACCATCGCCCTTTATTGTCGACGAAAATCCACTCGACCTCACCTCCCCCGTGATCAATAACCCCAAGAAATCGCGGTCAATCGACATTTTATACCCTACAAATCTTAGGCTGAAAATCGTGCCCCACGTGATTTCAATGTCAATCAGCGATAACTATGGTGAGGTATGACTAGGAAGATGACAGAGACTACGTCGGCGAGGCGATGGTTGTAGTAAGAAAAGTTAATGATGACGAGTTAGGCTAAGAGATTTAGGATTTTTAGGGTTTTTGGGTTTTATAAATATAATATATTTTTAAAAAAATTCAAAATTACCATAGTGTGACACGTGTCACTTAATGAAGAAAATTAACATCATTTACGGGCCGGACTCCTAATGTGGTAACGTTTGTAACGTTATATTCCTGGATTATTCAAAAATAGTTTGGACACCTATTTGTCGATATTAAAAGAAAAGAATTGAGAATGATCGATATTAATACATGAAGAAAAGAATTGAGAATGATCGATATTTAAAGAAATCATTATCTTAAGTGTACTCTTGTCCAAAACAGTAGAAATTATGTAATATCAGTGCTTAAAAATTTAGAGAATGATATTTCCATAATTTTAACGAAAAATGCTATTATTGCTAATAAATTATTACTTGGTAATGATACTTTTTACGAACCAAGCATCTCCTTAGGATTTTGAGGGGTTTTCATTTTTCTAGGCTTTGAAAATTTAAAAAATATTTTTTAAATTATTTTTTAGAAAAAATTATAAATTTCATCCCTCAACTTTCTTTTCAAATGTGTCATAATTTTTTTTAGTTTACTCACTAAATTTCGATTTGTTTATATTTTGATCAGCTTGCCATTAAATACTTAACTGCGTTACGGGTGAACATTTTTTAAATTATGTAATTAGCCTAAAATTCCTTCATTTTGATTCTCGGTGATGAAACATATTTTTTCAAATTTTAATAATGGATGAAGAAGGGAAAATCAAAGTTGTATATTGATTTCACAATTATCGTATGATGGATATTGTTGATCAAAATGGTTGGAGACTTCATGAATTTTGAGTTTATTGTTGAGTTTTAAAGTGATTAGGTAATATCTAAAGGGTAAATTGTGCATTTATTACTAAAACTATTAATTTTGGTTTATTTTAGCACATAAACTTTCAATTTTTTCAAAGTCATACCTAATGTTTAGTTTTTGTTTCATTTTAGTACCTCACCGTTAAAAACTTAATGGGTGATTTGCATGCGACACATTTTTATGGATAAATTACATCATTCATCACTCAACTATTTTCTCAATCCTATTTTGGCCACTAAAGTTTATTTTTTTAATTTAATTCATTAACTTTCAAATTACTCCTAATTTAATCACTCAAACTTTTAAATTTAATTTTTTATTTTTAATTATATATTAATAAAATAAAATATCATGTCACAAAAATATTAATAAAAATAAATTGGAGTGATTAAAATAGGAGCAATTTGAAAGTTGAGTTGTTAAATTGAAAAATTTTAAACTTTAGTACTAAAATAGGAGTGAGAAGATAGTTGAGTGATGAATGATGTGATTTACCCATAAAAAAATACAGTTCGTTAATTTTTTTAATAGTGAGATACTAAAATGAAACAAAAACTAAACGTAAGGTATGATTTTTAAAAAAATAAAAATTTTGGTATCAAAACTAATAATTTAGGTACTAAACATGTAATTTATCCAAATCTAAATTGATAGAGTAGTAGAAGAATGAGATAAATTCTTTGATATTTTGAGTGGTCGACGTAGATGTCAGAGAATTATAATTACAACTTGCATGATACAAGGATGAAAATGTAAAACTTTTATCTTTAAATAAATATAAAGAAAAAAGAAAACAAGAGGAAATGGTGTCAATGACACGCATTTCATTATAATAAAAAACAGTCCAATCAATACACGTGGATATCATGTCACCATTCTATTTATGATTTAATACTTAAGTGATCAAAATGAAATGAAATCAAAAGTTTTATGAGTAAATTAATTTTTTAAGCTTTAATTATCAAAATAAGAGTGAAAATAAAGTTTAGTGATGAATTTATTTAATTTATCCTTATTTTTATCTCATACTATTCAAATAAAAAAAGTGGACAAAAATATACACTTTACATCTTTTTATTGAACACCGATAAATATTTTAGATATAGTTAAAAATAAATTTAAAATACAAAGTAGAAAAATCATATACTTAAAAGGAAATTTAATAAATGGCTTAATGCCCAAATAAGTGCTCAAATTATACATTTTTTATCAAGTACGTGCCTACATTTTTTTGCTCATCCGAGTGCCTATCGTTATAAATATTAGCACTTTCGGTGTCCGGGCCTTCAACGACATTAGTTTTCTCCGTTAAGTGACACGTGTCACAACATAGTAATTTTGAAATTTATTTTTTTAAAAATATTATTATATTTAGAAAAAAATCTAACTTTCCTTATATTATAAAACAACCCCAAAATCCCAAATCCTAACCTTAATCTACCGTCGTCGCCCTCTTCGACCACGACCATCGCCTCAGATGTAGTTCTTGTCATCATCCTAGTTATATGTTGCCGCAGTTGTTGTTGATTCACCATCAGAATCACGTGGGATCGCGATTTTCATCTTAAGGTTCACGGGATTTAAAACATTGATTTGTCATCAATTAGTCACGATTTCATAAGGGTTTTGGTCGCCGGGGGAGAGGAGGTTGGGTGGAGCTTCTTCGACGGCAAAGGGTGATGGTCGGCGTGGATTTAGGGGTTGAAGTAAAGGTTTTCAAAGTTTAGGGGTTATTTCAAATTTTATGTGTTTTCTTTTAAAATATATATATATATAATTTTATTTTTTTTAATTTTATATAAATTATTTAAAATTACCATGTAGTGACACGTGTTACTTAACGGGAGAAACTACCGCCGTTGACGGTCCAAGCACCTAAAGTACTAACGTTTGTCAAGTTAAGCACCTGGATGGGCCCAAAAAAATGTAAGCACTTATTTGGCACAAAAACCATAGTTTAGGCACTTATTTGGGCATTAAGCCTTATAAAAAACACATTATTGTTTATTTCCAAATTCAAATTGTGCACTCGAAGTCAAAAATTTTCGTAACGTTTATTTTTGCACAGCTACGTAATATTTTTACCTTGTTCGAATCATTTTACCAATAAAATTTAGGATAAATTACACATTTAGTACCTAAACTATTAGTTTTGATCCGTTTTAGTACCTAAACATTCAATTTTTTCAAAACCATGCCCAAAGTTTAGTTTTCATTTCATTTTAGTAATCGCCGTTAAAAACTTAACACGTTTAATACATAAACTATCAGTTTTGGTCCATTTTAGTATCTAAACTTTCAATCTTTTCAAAACTTAACGTTAAATTTTGAACGGGGTACTAAAATGAAACAAAAACTAAAGTTTTTAATGATTGGTACTAAAATGAAACAAAAACTAAACCTTAGGTATGATTTAAAAAAATGAAAGTTTAGGTACTAAAACAAACCAAAATGATAGTTTAGATACTAAACGCGTAATTTACCCTAAAATCTAATGAGTTCCCTTGTGAATATTGATTTCAATCTTTCGTTCGTCTGCGTTCTTCTTCGAAACCTTCTTCAATCATCGTCAACTTAAATTCGATCAATCTTTAATCCAACTTAAAATTCATCATATTTTTATTTAATAGATCAGATGTTAAGTAAAATGTACAATTTTTAAATCGAGTTTAGATCAGGAAAAATCGATTAAACTCGACTTATTGTCATCTCTATTCTTTATATTTCATTATTTGCCTTGATATGAAAAATTCACAAGTATAATAGTTGAAATGATCACGATAGCATTAATTATATCTACAATTATAATATCAATTGAAATCGATTTTCTACCTGGAGGGAAACCGAGCATTTTGATGGTCGTCGTCTTGATACTTGCTCAAACCGCTGAGCAAAGGAAGCAACCGCCGGCACCACCGGTTTAGCCAAGCAACTAGGACTTTGTTCACTAGCCATAATAACAAACACTCCATTCGATGGCGGCACATGATAATCTTCTAACTTGTTTAGATCCGACTGAAGCGTCGACGTTTCTAACTGGCCGATCGGCGTTGGTAGGGGTGAATAAAACTCGACTCGACTCGAAAATTTGATTTTTTTTAGTCGACTTTATTCAAAAAAAAGTCGACTCGAAATGACTTTGAGTTGTAATTTCATTAACTCAACTCGACTTGAAAAAATTTCAAGTTCAAATCGAGTTGTAAAATACAACTCGAATAATTCTAAATTTTTAGTAATTAGTGGATAAATTTTTAAGTTTGAGTCGAAACTCTCAATTCTGTATAATATATGTATATCACATATGAAATAAATACACATGTATTGTATTTTTTTTTATCAAAAATCACACAGGAATGTATTGTTATATATATATATATGTGTGTGTGTGTGTGTGTGTATATATATATATATATGTATTGTATATGATCATAAAAAACCATTTAAATTGAAATCAAATAATATCATAATATTATAAGTATTGATCACTATAAGAAAATATACCTTTAATGACATACGAACGATGACACACGCTAATTTATAACTTACAAAAAATGTGTGTCATTAAAAAATGTCATTTTTTTAAAATCTGAACGATTTATGACTTACAATAATGTGTGTCATATTTAATAGTCATAATAATTTTTTTTTTTGTCAAAACACGGAGTACAGTTTTAATTGTGTGTCATCTTTAAAAGTCGTATTTTAATTTCCCCCCCTCTATTATCTTCATCTTTTCCCGCTCCTTCCCTCATTCCGCTTGCTTCCCCATTTTTCTCTTTTTCCCTTTTTCTCTTTGCAACCTCCCACTGGTTTGGCCATTCATTGCAAACGAGAGAGTCAAAATTCAAGGGTTTCCACATGTATTCCTCGTTCTCTATTCTAATATATAGGGTTTTGCTAATTTCTATTTTGTATGAAAATATTGAAAGTAAAGCAACTGCAAGATCGTCTTCTAAAGTTGTTGAATGTCGTGTTGATAGTATTTCATGTGCTGGTAGAGCCGGTGATGGAAATATAGATTTTAGTTATTGTAACAAGGATTTATACTGTAATAATTCATCTCATAGTTCAGTGTCAGTTTGTAGTTTAGGATCCGGAAAGGTGCCCTCTTCTCAGAAACTAGACTTGTCAGTTCCTTCTATGAAAGATGGAGGTTCTGGTGGTAGTTCAACTATGATCCAAATTTCATCTTCACATTCTAGAAGCAGCAAGAGTGCCGTTGGAGGCATATCCGAGATTTCTCCCAAACTCCATCCCAAGTTAGAAGAAGATATTGAGGGCAGTAGCGAGAACCCACTGGATAAAACTGTGAGTTTTATGTTTTTAATGCTATTGATCAGTTACTGTATGCGAGAAATGCTTCGGAAAGTTTCTAAAGGAGATTAGCTCTGTGAAGAATGCAAGCTGGCTGAGGAAACTGAAAGGCAAAAGCAAGGTTAGTTTTCAAACAGAGAATAAAAATGACACCCAGAGAAGATCATGTGCTGACATCCTTTTGCGATTGAATTTTCAAGGTTTGGATGCTAAGGGGAAAACGGAAAATAAACTTATCTCAAGTACACGTATCTTAAGTAAGAGACATATTGAAAATTTAGAGGGTGCTTAGCTCCAAAAAGGCAGGTTGTTGATGGATCACCAAGATTATTGAGCCCCAACGGAGTATCTTCTTTGTCTCGAGAGATTTCATTTAAGAACTTAGACAAGGTGAAAGTGAGGCCATCACTGCAAATTTCTCTTGGCAACCATTCTGGTAATGATATGCAGGAAGTTGTACGCTCTCCGACTTCTGGTCCACGGCTGCAAACACCAAAGGGTAAGTAAATTAATTTTGTTATCTTGTCTAAAATTTCCTATGTTAATTTTAACATTGGCATACTGTTCTCATTGTTACAGGGAGCTTATTGAAATGCAGTTCATTTAATACCTTAAATTCCAATTCTAAGGTGAAACTTGTGATGAGGTTGTTGTTCAGAAACGAGAAAGTGCTAGAGAACATGCATCATTTTATAGCGATGAACCTGCTAGAATGAAGGGCAAAGATTGCAGTTTCTGTTGAGGTCATACTGTACTAACAACCCTTTTAAATCCCTCGTATGCTGAAATGTCAGATCTATTAGTGAATGCAAAATTGGTAGTTATAACTCTGGCCTGAGAGAGGTTTAGGAGTGAGGTTTATTTTAACCAAGGTTTAGGATGACTTAGTCCTGAAAAAATAGTTTCCTTGCTATATTTGTTTGATTTGGTCATCTCTAATATTGCTTTTTAATATCACTTATCAATAACTGTATACTGGAATAGTTTCTTATATTACCTGCTTCTTGAATGCATATTGTCAATAATGTTCAGAGTACTACAAGTGTTCCACCTGCCTCAAACTCAAGACTTTCATCGCTACTTGTGGAACCTGCCGGTTTCAGTTATGACCGTGGGGCAACAATTGATATTCCTCTTGATACAACTTCAGGAGGATCACATAATCAGGTTGGTAAAGAAATGTTTCTAAATTTCATTTACATTATTCGGTTAAGCCCTGAATCTCACTTTCCTGGTTTACTGTTTAAATGTAAGATTTAAACAAGAAAGTCCAGGCTAAGGAAGCAGAACTGAAAATGTGGGAACAGGCATGTTGTATAATAGATTTTATAACATTGAATTCATTTGTGATCTACTGAATCATAGATTTACTTTTTCTCTCTCATTTCTCTTCCAAAGATGTATCATCGACCTATTTAGAATTTGATGTAATGAAAGCAAAAATTTATCTCAATAAATCCAGTATCCTAGTATCATAAAATACTGTCAGGATACTTTATCAGGTTGTTGGTGGAATATCATGTGTTTCTCGATCTATTTTAGTGTACTAAGTCATTCGGATGGTTTTAGGCTGCAAGTTCACATTCTTACACATTTATTTCTCAAATAAATAGCATGAAAGATCGTATCATCCCTATAATTTCATTGGTCAACTTACTCCTTGCAGGAAGTGAGGCAGAAAGAAGAGGCAGTGGCGAGATGTACCTTTCATTTTCCTTTATTTAACTAGTCTCAGTGATCACATTTCGTTTTGTTCTCAGCTTCAGTATTTGGTCTAGATTACTCTATACTTTTTTGCAAAATTTTTGACCTTATTTTATTTTAGTATTTGGTCATGAACTACAGTTTCACTTATCTGTTTTGCAGTTGGAATTGTTGTGGAAGAGAAAAATTGGCCACCATTTTTTCCAATTATTCATCATGTTATTTCCAGTGAAATTCCAATTCATCTACAAAGATTGCATTATGTTGCATTTTTGACATTTTTTAGGCATGTAAGTTTTTCCAATATTTTCCTTTTTAGGATTATATGCATACATCTAGGTATCATGCCTTAATATTACCATGATAAATTACATTGGCTAATTATGTGTACCATGCTTTAATTTTATACTGTTAGTTCTTTGCTAGATTGCATTGGGTAATGTTTTGTACCATGCTTTTATTTTGTTAACTCTTTAGTTGAAAATGGCTTTAGTGTAAAGCCATGGACTGGAGACAATTCAGTGATTGATAATGATTCTATGCAGGATTGGTTCTATCCCTTATGTGGAACATCATAGCCGTTACTACAGCATGGATCAAAGGGAAGGTTAATTTAGTTATATGCTTCCATGTCTTGTTTTTCTTCTTAATATAACATTGTGATTATGTTGTGTTTTCCTTATTATTGTTTAGGTGTTAGGATCTGGTTATTGTCTATCATCTATTTTGTAGCAGGAGTACTAGGAGCCTATGTATTCCGGTATCGCCCACAGTTATCGAAACATTATAGTATATTCTTTGATATATTTCATCAATTTTTATAGGGCAATGAAATTGTACACTGCTCAAAGTGGATCTAACAAAAGGGTTAGTCTCAATTGGATCAATGTTTTGGTGAGGACTTCAATCGATCATTCCTTATTTAAATTGCAGCTTTCATTTTGACTAATCGTTTATTGTAAACTGTTTGTAGTGCCCCGTCAGTCGGGAGGTACCAAGTGTGGATATTATGTTTGTAAGTTCATGAAAGAGATAGTCGAGAACGGACTTAAAGTGCTGGTCAATAAAAATGTAAGCAAACTTTTCTGATACACATCTGTCATATTATACATACACATTAGTCATACAACTAACTTGAAGTATGATGCTATTATTGGAAATTCAGCTATGATAACATCTTGTCTATTCATATTAATAAGAATTGTCAAGCTCTTTTTATTTATGCTGAAAAACTTATAGTTGGATGTTATTCTAGACTTCTAGTTATCACCTTGTGAATTTAACGTAGTGTAAGATTACATTGATGGTAAACTTATTGTTAGTTGCTTCTATTGATAGATTCTGTTGTAAGTAATGAGTGAATTCTTGATTCTAATTACACGTGTTAAGCATGTCACAATCGGGATTAGTTTTCGATAACTGAATCAATGTCTAAAGGAACAATTATATTGGGGAATAATGCCTCTCGTGGATAATGTGAGACACGTACTAGACTTAAAAGAGAAATTTGATTTTTTTCAAGTACTCTAGATGAAAAAGGTTACAAGTAAACTGTGAAGGTGGAATAATGAGGATCAATAAGAACTCTTTTGTGGTGATAAAAGGTCAAAAAATGATTGTCGAGTTTTTTGTCTTGTAGATTCAATAGTTCTAGATGATGCAATTGTTACTTTCACTTTCTTGTTGGATGCTAAATGGAGAAAAATGGGATTTTATGATGAATAAGACATATTGAAGCTTTTAAAGTATCCCCTTAAATAACAGTGTAATTGTGAGAAATGAAAAGTAAAGCTTTTAAAGCTTAAGATACCTTATTTACTTGATTTTTCGTTCTTTTCATATTACTTAGTGATGAGTGATGACTTGATAACCATAAATGAAAATGTTTGCTCTTTACAAATGTTTGGACTACTTTATGTTCTCACCTGAAGATAGTTGATGCTTGATTAATATATGCAAAGTATTAATTCCTATATGTCATCAGCAGTTGGTTCAAATAAAGAGTGGAAACCAAAGGTGATCAACTCTAATTTTGGGAAGGGTTCGGGAACAGCTGGTGCATATGATGTTCCTATTAGTTCAGTTGAAGCCAATGCTTATTCGTAGCATGTTTCAAGAGTTCTCGACTCTGAAGAAGCAACTTCAAAATTGCAGAAGAAGCTAGAGGAGTTGCATCTCCCGCAACTTCAACATGTTTGATATTCATAAAGAATGAGTATCTTATGTGGAAAACTTTATTATGCCGTGGTATTTTGTATCGACATATGATTATAATATTTTTGATAACTTAATGTTAATATATTGTATACAAATGGATTGCTTATATATAATATGATATATATATATTTAGTATTATGAGGAATTAAATGTGATTTAGTTTGATTATTGTCAATCTACAATATATATATATATATATATATATATATATATATATATATATATATATAATTTACGACATACAATCACGGCACACGAATGTGTGTCATCTTTTCTAATGATGTTTGCTTCAATGACACGCAATGTAAGTCATAAATGCGTGTCATAAATTTATGACACACAAATGTGTGTCGTCTTCATTTATGACAGGGGCTTCAATGACGCGCAATGAGCGTCATAAATGTGTGTCATAAATGCGCGTCATAAATTTATGACGCACAGTTACGCGCCATCTTAAATTCATGTCGGTGGCTTCAACGATAGGCAAATGTGTGTCATCCGCACCCATAGATGACACGTAATGCGCGTCATTAAAGGGGTTTTTTCTATTAGTGGATAATTAAATTTGAACACTCGAAAATTTGACTAAACTCGACTCGAAAAAATTTCAAGTCAACTCCGAGTTGTAAAATATGACTCGTCAACTCAAATAACTCAAAATATTTTTACTCGACTCGATCGAACGCTCACCCCTAGGCGTTTGGGTTCGGTTCAAGCCGAAGTTTATAGCAGAACACCTTCAGTAAAAACAGCATTGCCATTAACATAATTATCACCAATAATCAGCCATGACTGTGTTAACAAATGGGATTGTTCGACGTTAAAGGGCATGCAAAAGCATATCTTTACATGGTCAAAATATGACATGCAAAAGCATCTTTAGTGGAAATTGATCCTACTTCCAAACTGCTAGCATACGCATGCTGTTCTGTCCGTAATATTTATTACTACTATTAAAGGGTAAAATTGTGCTACATGTCATCGTATTACGAGTAAATTTGTAATCGAGTCGTTTCATTTTAGAAAGTTATGAATCACTATTTTTATCGGCGGATAACTAGCATGTCTCTTTTTTCGTTAATTAATGTTTTACGATCGATATTCTACGATTGATCTTCCTAAAAGAATATTTCTCGTCATTCAGATGTTCAAATAAACACCACAAACCTCTTAAATTCGACAAAGTTCCCACATTTTAAAATGATTTTTTAGTGTGTACATTGAATTTCATGCTATTTCAATTTTTTTGAAGAAATTTAAATAATTAGAGTTATAGCAGATAGTATGACAAATTCATTAGTGTCGAGAGTGAGATCCACTAAAAATGAAAAGAAATATTTTAACATTGAGGAAAATAATAAAGAGGTAAAAAGAAGAGGAAGAAAATCACTTCAAAAAAATATGAAAAAATGTATTTCTTTTTTTGCTTTCACATTAGTGCACATAGACAAAACATGTTGTCCAGATATTTCAAATTTAATGACTTTGAAAAACTAATTATTATAATTGAAGTTTTATAGTTTAATGATTAATATAAAAATGATCTTAAAATTTAATGACTAATGACATAATTTAATTAGTATTTTATGTGATTTTAATACAACTTTAAGTAAATATGTTCAACCTATTTTGATATAATAAATTTAAGGGTAAACTGTTTTAGATTTGATTGAATTTATTTAAAGTTTTCAAAAATAATTCAAAGTCCATATAAACTTGAATTTGAACACAAAATTGTTTTTCTGGGTACGCAGTACCGATACTGTTATTACAATATTGATACCGAATAAACAATACCGATATTATTCTTGCAGTATCGATGCCAAAGAAAGAGGGGTATCAATACTCATATGGTAGTATTGATACTACCCATTGGTTTCAAGTGTGTTTAGATTTTAGTCAGCAAAAATAGTATCAATACTCAAAGGAGTATCGATAATACTGTATAGTAGTATCGATAGCATTATCCCAATATCGATACTCACTTAGTCTAACTGTAAAAAATGACTTGTTTTATTTAAAAGTTATTAGGGCAATAACGATACTCATAGCCCGAGTACCGATACTCCATGGTCTGGGCAGTTTTATTTTTGTAGAAAATTAATCCCCAATGGCTCCAAAAATCCACTGTGGCTAGAAATGGCTAGAAACTCATTCTAACATATAAAAACAATTTGATGACACTTAAAAAAAGTTACAACACTTATCCAAGCAATCCACTTCAAAAGAAAAGCTCTTTCAATCATAAATTCCTTTTCTCTTCTACATAGTGTGTTTTAGTGAGCTTAATTGTGGAAACTGTATTACTCCGAATTTTGGATAGTGACTAAAATGTAAGTTTTGAAATGTTGGTGGCTAAAGTATAAACTTTGAAAAGTTCATGTACTAAAAATGTAATTTTGAAAAGTTATGTATTTTAGCCTGTAAATGAAAATTTTGACCTAAAATAAGAATTTTTGTGGTAATCAGATTTTCAGTACGAGATTTGTGTTAGAAGTTATAAAGCGTTAAAGTTCAATGTAGAAATCGGATAATCAGATCGAACCATAAATTTTTAAAAATTTGAAGGATATTAGATAATGGTTGGAAATAATATTATTTCCATATTTTAGATCAAAGAAATTTAGCTCAGATCAGTGTAATTTTTCAGATTTTCCCGAACAATAGAATTTTAGTGACTGAAATGCAAATTTTGAAAATTTTATGACTAAAGTGGAAAGTAAAATCTAAGTTGATTCATCTTTGCTATGAAATATTTTAATGGAAGATAATGCAATGACATTTGGTAATTATCAAGTTTCATTAATGGCAATTTTGGAATTTCTCATTAATTGATTTTTAGCACATTTCAGCCCTCTTCAAGCTTGAGGCCGAAACCACCATTGCTTCAAGATATATATTTCATTTTTTATTTTTAAGCTTGTATGAGTTATTTTTGGACTAAGTTGTGAAATAGAGAATTGATCTACATCAAATTCTCTATCATTTGGTATTAAAAATTCATGTAAAGCATGCTTGGATGTTGAGATTTGGTGATTAGGGTTTATGAAGGGTTTATAGATTTTGAAGATTTAATGGAAGATTACTATATTTTTTATGTTGGAGATTAATTCTAAGGCTTGTATGATTATTCAAACTATGTGTAAAGCCTTGTATTGAATTCGACCATGCTTAGGGTTTTAGGAGATTGATTGATTTTGATTCAATTTGATATTATGATGGTAAAAATTGAATGAATTTGATCATAGGATGCTGAATTCATGCTTGAAAATGAATGAAATCCTTGCCTTAGTGCATTTATTAGGTTCGTCCATAAGGAAAATTTTGGGGGGGGGGGGAATATTGAAAAATTTCCTATGGTCTAAAATTTATTAAAAGTATTCTATGTGACTTGGAGATCAATTTGGAGCCTTGAGAGAGGAAAAAGTCTTATTTACAAGTTTTGAGAATTGTGAGACATTATTGATTAAACGTGAGAATTGGGATGTTCAATGTTAAATTTTAATATTTAAATGTTGGAATTTCAAGTTGGGAGTTGGTTGGAACTAAATTATAAGTTTGGTAAATTTTAGGGGTGGAATTTGAAAAGTCTCAAAATTTAGGGACTTATTTATGAGCATGAAAACATGTTGATATTATTTTGAACAAGAAATAATACAATGTTGGAAATTTTATTAGTATGCTAATTTTTGAGTTTAAATATTGAGTTGGGATCAAAGTTTAAGTTTATAAAGATGGATGGTTGAATTCGAAAAGTCTAAGAAAGTTTAGGATGAAATTGCAAGTTTTTGAATGTTAAAGTATGGATTTGAGTATTTTATTAAGGTGCTGAAAATTTTAGTAATTAATGTGCAATGATCATAATGGTGAAGAATCATTATGAATTTAATGGAAAAGTTAAGGTAAATTCTAGAAAGAATTCAAAATTAGAGGCTTGATTGTGTAATTGGCAAAAGTTGAAGGGTTGATGATGGAAATAAATATTTATGGAATTTAATGAGTATTTTGATAAGTTTGAAATTTTGATGGAAAATATGATTTGGTTTTATATCGATTTTATTTCTATTGAATTTTACATTTAAGCTTAGAGTATGTTAGTACGATGCTAACATAGTTGAAATATTTTATGTTATTATATGACGTCATCAGACCTCGATAAATCTAGTGATTCAAGTAAATCTAAAGAGAAGGAAAAAGTGCGAGATCAAGAAGATTATCGTAGAGAAGGTTCGACAGTGGAGAAAGGTGAGTGCATATTTAATTGTACTTATGTTATCGAACAAACATTGGCTTGCGATGAGTCAGTGACGGAGTTACTATGATAAGAGATGACTCCTAAATATTATGTGATTTGTGATTTATATATATATATATATATATATATATATATTTATTTATTTATTTGGTAAGTTAATAAAATTATGAAATAAGCCAAGGGTGCTAATTAAGGAAAGTTGCCTAGAAATCACGATTTGAACAGTAAGTTTAGAAAATCACCATAAATTATATAGAAGTGATTAGAGGATGATCTCTATACTGTTAGATTCCTATATCAGTCTAGTTTCATTTATAAAAAAAACAACCACTGATTTCAAGTAGTATACAAAAACATATGAATTTTGTATCGATGATAGGTCAAAAAACATGGCAACAAATTCTGCTTAAAACGGTTTCTGTAATTCAACTTTGAAAATTTGTTATAAATTGTACAAGTTGGACTAAAAGAAGTAACCTATATGGTTATATTTTTATTTGATTCTAGTTTCCATAGGTACAAACGAAATAATTTTTAAGTATGTAGTTTAATACAGAATAATTTTTAAGTATGTAGTTTAATACAGAATAATACTTCTTTGAAGGTTGTGCAAACTACCAGAGTATGAATTTTG